TTCATCAGCAAGGAGGTAGGCTGCATAGAGGGCGCTTTTGATCCCCATTTAATGACTGATCTCTTTAAGAGATCGTTATAGTTCTCCTCAGGCCTTTGATCCAGTGCAGAAGCCCGTACGTTGTAAGTCTGTGATGGCAAAGACTGTGCCTATTTCTCACCGCAGTGGTGAGCAAAATGTCCACGACAACATAGGGGCTTGATAAACATTTGTGAATCTGTTTATAAGAGGTGCATAACAACAATTTTACCTTAACAGCTGAAGAAGAAACACAGTAATATATATCATTTAATCAAACCAGGCATTGCTATTTATCTGTCGCTTATTTATTAATAATATTGGCTAAAACTTATAGAAAACATCTCATAGGCTAGGTCCTACCCTACATGCTGTATATACATTATTTTCAATCACCATGAAAAGTCCACAAAATAGACAATTTAAAATAGTGGGAAGATCACAGACTTTGAAGTCAAGCCCCAGCTCTGTCTCTTTCTAGCTTTATGATCTTGAGAAAGTTACTCGATTTCCCTGTGCCTCAGTTTCCTCATCTGTGAAAAGGGGATAAGAATATTACTTCTCTCATAAAGTTGTCTTGAGAATTAAATGAGATTATGTCCCCAAAACACTTATTTTAATCTCATACATAGTAATAATTGCTGAATATTTTTAGCTATTTTTATTATCTTCATTTTTTAAATGGAGCAAATAAAGCTCAGAGAGGTTCAGTAACTTTCTGTGAATTACCCTGTACTTATATGTTAGCAGCAGAACCAAGATTCTTGAATCCAGGTCTATTTGACACCAAATTTTGTAATCTTTTCACTTCGTGTTACATGCACCTATGTATGTATATTTCAGTCTACAAATACATTCATACAGTTATAACCTGAATTTGCAAAGATCTTGAATATGATGTTCTGGTTCTCCAGTACATGGTAGTTTTATTGATTTAATGCACTAAACGCTTCTTTGGTAATCTGAAAAAATTATGACTGAATGACTTAGTAGACCTCCAGAAAATACCACTGGCAATGAAAAATCCTAGCCTAAGAACAGTTGATGTAGTATTTGTGTTTTTGGAGGTATTTTGAAGACTTCATTGAATTTCAATCAATTAATATAAAGTAAATTATGTAAGAATTGGTAAAAAGCCTTTCAACTTGTTTGCCCAAAGTTTGGCTTATTCTATTAACATGTAAAAATATGACCTTAGGTGGGAGAGGGAAGGGGGAGGAAGGATTAGGTAAAGGGACACAAAAATCAACCACATTGTATATTGATAAAATTAAATTAAAGTTAAAAAAAAANAATACATGGGTATTTGTAAAATTTGCAAGAAAGATATTTTAATTAAAATTTTTTATTTTAACAAACTTAATTGACAATGATTGAATGTATTCAAGCTGTATAACATGATGATCAGATATACGTATGTATTGTGTAACTATTACCACGATCAGGTTAACTAACATATCCATCATCACCCATGCTGTATGGACATTAGATCCCCACAACTTGTTCATGTTGCAACTGGGAGTTTGTACCCTTTGACCAACATTGCCCCATTTCCCCCATCCCCCAGCCTTTGGCAACCACCATTCTACGCTCAGCTTCTGAGTCTGACTTTTTTAGATTTCACATATAAGTGAGATTATGCAGTATTTATCTTTCTGTGTCTGGGCAAAAATATTTTTTCAATTTTAGTAAAAGACAAAA